CTCTCCCCCTCCCTCTCCTGTTGCTACTTCAATCATGAAACTGATCAATGATCAGCTGATCGGCTTTTCTCTCTTGTTTGTTTATCGCCCACTTTGCGCCAGAAAGAGGAAACCTGCAGATGTTGCGCTAAACAACAGCAGCACGTTTAAGCTTGATCAGCTGTTGTTAGAATGTATTTAATATTAATTTCTAGTATCAGCTGATGTTTGCTGGAGCCACAGCTGTAAAAGCTGCTGGTCATGATATCGGTTTGGATATGTGGTGAGAGGGAAACATGAAGATGAAACCAGGAGATGTCCTTACTGAACCATCAGAGCTGAACAGGTGATGGAGAAACAGGTTTACCTTTTAGGTGACATGAATGAGTTGAAGTTATGAACTGTTTCTGAGAGATAAATAACACCAGGATCCTTTTTTATGTAGCTGACAGCTGGTAACTGTGCAGGGGCGGGTCTAGCAAAGTTTTGCCAGGGGGCCAGGTAGGGCATTAACAGGGAAAGGTGGGCACAAAGAAATACTTTTCTTTCTTATTCTCATTTAAAATACCTAGTTTTTATTAAATAATTATCTAAATCTTACAACCAAAGTTTTTATCTGACGTAAAATGTATAGAAATCATACATATACCAACAAGACTGTACATCACTGTCACAACAGCATTTGTTTTCATTCAAAGGCTTTATGGCTTTAATACCTGGGGGGTCGGTCTGTAGTAAAAATGCCCAATTTTTTTGTCCCAGTCCAGCCCTGCAGGTTATACTAGCAGTGTCACCATGCCAGCTGACTGTATTTTATCATCAGCCAGTGTTGTTCTTGATCAATATTACCAAAGTTTACCATAAGGCAGCATAGAAAGTATTTACTTGCTTTCAGGTTTTATTCAAATATTAGTCTTTTCAGTTGTTTCTCCACTTTTTTCCTGTTTCAAAATCAAACACCACTTTGTGAGAAGATTATCTTCTTTTTTTAACAGGCAGATAAAGTTTTGCATTGGCTAATTTGTCAATTGTTTGTTACAAATGTTCGTATTTTAATTTTCAAAAATGTTTTTGCCCAAAACATATGTGCACTATATGTCAGTAAAAATACTATGCAAATATTGATGTCCTTGAATGCTGAGTAAACACTGACAAAGCACTGATTGTATCTCTTGTACTTTATCAACGCAGTATCTAAAAACTTTGCACCGTAGTGGTTAAAATCTCATTCTAATAAGAGTTAAAAGTGCATTTGGTTATTAGGTTTATAGGGTTATTGAATTATGGTTAACGGTTGGTAGAATTTTTTTTTTAAACATTATCTGCCAATTAAATCTGCCACACTTCTCCAAATCTGTGCCCCTACCTGGCCCCCCCAACAAAAATTTTCTAGACACGCCACTGGATGGTGGAGATTCAGATAAAAGAGGACAACAATTTAAAGTAGGAGGAAGGTGGGAGGGTAGCTGAAGAGCAAGAAAGTAAGGGGAGTGGGCAGATAGATGAGGACCGACAGGAAGGAGCAGTGAATTAAGTCGTAAGGTGGCAAGGTAAAAAACAAGGTCAATGACAGAGAGAGGGTAAGAGGACAAGAAGAGAGAAAGAATGAAGGAAATAAATCAGTAAAGATAGGAGGTGAAGGAGAAAGGTACAAGGGTTAAAACAGTATAGAAAAATCACTAATAGGGTGGATAGAGGAGGTTGGAAGAACATAAGAAGAGGAATTAAAAGGAAAAAATGAATAAAAACAGAAAGAAGAATTATGGACATGTAGAAAACTGAAAACAGAGAAGTAAAAACTAGACAGAAATGAGTAAAGAAGGCAAGGAGTTTACAAGGTGAAATAAGAGATCAAACGAACAAGAAGTATTAAGAATACTCATCTATGTACACAATATGTTTTCTTCTAAGTAAATAAAAAGAAGAAAAAGATAAGAAAAAACAGACAACAAAGAAAATAAAAAAGACACAAACAGTTTGGTCGCCGGTCCTCCAGAGATGCCAAACAAATAAACAACAAATCCTCGGGATGTAGGGATGCCGATGCGAGAGAGATGGAGAGATCAAAGTACGTCTTTCCTCCTCGAGAGGAGTAGAGCCGAGAGGAAATGAGAGAAAGAAGGCGGGACCATTCGGGAGAATGAGGTTGGTGGAGCGCCAGCTTCGCTTTCAGCTCCGCCTCACTCTGGAAAATCCCCGTTAGACGATTAAAGACTGAGCTCCGTTTGCAACTTATTTAATGCAAGGAAACAGGTTTGAAATAAGACTTTGGAAATATGGTGCAGCATTTATTGTGTCTGTAAGAATGTTTATAATAAACAATCAAATATTTTACTTTCATTTCTTTGGCTTCTCTGCTCTCTGTTCTTTACATTGTGTTGGAATTTCAAGAGGTTTTCAGTCAAATTTATGTAGAAATAACTTTGAGGTTCACAGTCTTGTGTACCAATCAGTCACACATGCCCCTAAATATAACACAGTTTAAATCTAATAAATAAAATATAATGCTGTTATGTGTCTACGCAGTCAAGCACATGTAGTTACAAACTCAGTAAGTCAACGTAGGGTTTCTCAATCATGTAAAAGTGGCAGAGAAACAGAGAAAGTCTCAGCAGAACGGCTGATCTTACAAAGGTAAAGCTACAAACATATAACACAGGTTGAACGCATCGCAGGTGCAGCAGATTGTGAGTTTGTGTGAGAGCAAAGCATGAATGTGTGTGTCCTTTGCATTGGTCAGTCACACGTGTAAAGCCTGGCTATTCAAAGGCAGAAAGGAAAGCAGCTGAGAATACTGACTGTTAATGGACTTTGTAAGTATCACAGCTCATTAAGACATGAGAGGATTTGACAGAAGACAGTTTTAGCCTCATTCTTTCAGCTGCAGCATCTGTGTGGTTTAATGCTCAGAAAACAAGTCTAAAGAACAACTATTTTTTTTAAATCAAATGCGTCAGCTTCTTTTTCTTTTGGCTCGCCTCTTTATGGGTTGCCATGGCAGATCCTCTGTCACACCACACCTCTGCAGTTCATCCATGAATCTTCTCTGTGGTCTTCCTCTTTTCCTCCTACCTGGCAGCTTCCTATTCATCATCCTTTATCCAGTATATGAACCGTCTCTAAACCATACTTAGGTCTCACTATCATCTTGTAAACTTACCCTTTCACTACAAATCCCCCCTGACACTCGTCTCCACCCACTCCACCCAGCCTGCACTCTCTTCTTCACCTCTCTTTGCGACTGTCTGTTGCTTTGTATGGTTGGCCTCAGGTATTTAAACCTCCACTGCTTGCAGGTTCACAGTTACACCTGTCTCCCTGTCCTTTACATACATATTCTGTTTTGCTTTTGTTCCTCCACTCTCCAGAGCATACCTCCACCTCTCTCTTCTCTAGTCTCTCAATCAACACTCTTAAAGCAAACATTGTAGGAGTAGGAGTACTACGATAACAGATGCAGAGTTTATATGTGCAAATATGATAAAAGTACTGCAAAAAAGTACATATAGGTCCACTGTGTATCAAGACTTACATAACAATCGAACCGTTGTACATTTATCACTAATGCTCATCGAGGGAAGACTTCACATGCTTGTAAAAAACGATGAGGTCCTCCAGAACTAGTGACGCTATTTTCCAGAGAAGTGATTGGGCAGTAGATGATTTCGTACCTGCTCTAGAACATAATCTGGCCCTGAGCAGGTTAGGTCTGCACCAGAAGTTAGCACGGTAATGTACACTGAGCTGCAGATCTATGTAAAATCTTGAGTTTATTATATTTTGAGCAAATATAGATGTAACCTGTAAAGGGAGATGAGAAAAAGAGACACAAGCACACACGGGGAGCTTATTTTGCTGGCCGTTCAGCCATGTTTACTACAGTATTGTTCCCATCTACAGTTATCAGCACAGCTTGTTGAGTTCTTTTTTAACATCGTCATAGATATTTTCACCACTGGTTTATTTTCTGCTCGTTCACTCAGAGGATGTTTAAGCAGCATTATCAAAAAAAAAACTAAGAGCACATCCTTACAGACATACTGTACATACGACACATACAAACCAAAGCACACGTACTCATACACGCACGTCTTAGAATAGCATCACTCTGATATATACAGATATAGAGAATGAGTAAAAAAAAACAAGAAAAAAAAAGAAAAACTATTTTCAGTTTTTACATCTCAATATAAGAGTCATACCAAAGACATGGCCACCAAGTGAGTAAACAATAGATAAATAGATATAAAACAAATACAAAAATAAATAAACATAAATACTTGCATTAATTGATAAAAGATGATTTGAGTTTTTTAACTCACTGTTTACTTTTAAACATGTTTTTTTGTTCAAGTCTATATATAATCAGCGCACCACTATTAACTGATAATTTTACCTCAACAACAAAGTACTGGTTCATTACCCAATCGGAGAACGCGAAAGCCCGCCCCTCAGCCCCGTGACTGGGTGGTTGACGTATGTATCGTCTGTACATTAGCCGTTAACATCATGTTCGACATGACATGATCACGTGTGACACAGAGTCACTGTTTTCAGCACCATTAACATCGCCATGACTGTCACCATTGTACCAACATCCACAACTTCAGGTAGGACACAGCACTGTCCAGATAAGAAAACTGTAATTATCAAGACTTTTTTTGTTGTTGTTTTTTCTTTTTTTTCTTTAAAATTTGCTTTCCTGAATTTTTCGGACCACCAACGGCTGTGGTGTTAAAAACACGTAACAGTTTTTTAGCATACCTGCAAACCTTGTTAGCATCAGAGCACTGCTTTACTTGCTTTAAACTGGCTACTACACATATCCCTACGACGCCTTCGAGGACTTGTTGTTTGCAGTGGAATTTTAGGGGTGAGGTTGCAGAGCCCCTCAAGTTTAGTTGTATGACACTTTCACATTAGCATATTATGGTGGCTCTCGTGCACATGTGACTTCAAGGGCTCTGGGGAAATTGGCAGAACCATAGACTGCATATGAAAGATGGACGTGGAAGTCTGCATTCATTCTAAAGCAGCCGACCGAAGCGAAGTGCTTGGACCAGTTTCCCATAAGACAGATCTACCGTGGCTCGGGACCTCAGGTCGCAAAAGGCAAAGATGACGACAGCCATTCATTTTTTATACACAGTCTTATAGTCGCAGCACATCCACAAGATCCAAACAAACATTGTGTGGTAGTGAAGTATGAGTAGCAGCAGATTAAACAGACCACAGCAAAAGCTTAGAGAAACTGGGTGTGCTAGAGGATGTTATTCAGGTACTGGCCAGGGATGATTTGGCTCTTATTTGTCTAATACAGGATATGTAACCACAAAGTACATCATTAACCATGATTGCTAAAAAGCAAGTATATAAGCTGCTCGTAGCGATTTGCTCTACCAACTGACCTAAAGTACACAAGAGACTGTAATTTTTCCTACGCTTATTTCTGCAAGACATTACAATAAACTTGTGTACAATCGGCATACAGTTGAATTGAAGCCACACTGGAAACAGAAGCAGGAAGAAACTCCAAAAGTAAAGGGCACACTGCTCCTGTCTACTTGTAATCTAATTACAAGTTATGTTTTCCGGATATAATCTGTCAGGTGAGCTTTTTGAAGGACTACAGTCTAAATGTTGGCACAAATTCGTGGCTGTTTAATGTGGTATTTACTGTGACATTTGTGCCATACAAGTAGTTTTTTGTGCTTGTGGCTGTTAGCCATAAATATAGATCCCCTGAAGACTTGTCAAACCAGAGCAAGTGCACAAACATCTATGGGGTTTATGTTTCAAATACAAATGCTTGTATTTGGTGTGAAGTTGACGAATCACGTGTTCGTTAGACTCTGATGAAGACTTAAAGTCAACACATATTGTCTGACTTTGCCAGAAAGCTTGTAGAATAAATCATCGTTGTACTTGAAAACAGAGTGCCTTGGTTTTGTTTTGTTTTGTGCCATCCCCAGTCAATATCTAGCATCACTTCATAAATTGTATTATTATTATTTTAAAGATCTTCCAATTCCAAGTCCTAAGGTTAATAAATCAGTTAAACTGGCATCATGAGCAGCTAGTCTTCATCACTGCATGGTGCACTAAATGCATTTTGAAAAGCGCTTTCATCAACATACTTCTTAATATGCATCTGGGTCACATAATGTAATGTTTTCTACATCAGCTATCCTTAAAATAAAACCACAGCATAGGTTGAAGTATTTCTGGGATGGCCATAAAGATCAGATCACCTTAAATGCACAGACTAACCCTAAAGGCTTTTAAGTAAAAGGAGAAAGAACGTCTTTGAAAAGAACTTCAAAGAGAGGCTGCCGGAGAGAAAGCTGTTGTGTAAAATGCAAGAGGACAAATGCTGGCTTTGATGCAACTATTTTATATTGCATCAAAGCATACTATATTTCCTTTTAACTGTTCTTCCTTTGGGTGGTGTTGCTGACCCTGCGTGATTCTTTCAGCATCCAGCAGCTTCTAATTAATATCAACACATCCACACCTGGGAGCAGCAGCATTTAAACTTCGACCTCTGAAGCTGCTTACTGATCAGCTCTGCTGGATATGTTCAAGGTGTATCTTCCTGCTGCAGGTCATCGCAACAAGAGTTTAAAGGTGCAAAGAGAATTTCTATGCCAATCTGCTTTTCCTTTCTATTCAACAAACGTACTGCAAATCTATCAGCCTTTGGGGGCAGGGGTACATAAGGATATCCAGAGCAGCAGCTAATGGATATCTGAGCCAGGATTTCCTGCTCTGTCCAGAAGTCTTTGTTTACTATTGCAGATTAATTTTAGAACTGATTGTTTTGAGATTGCATTTGCCAAAATTCAATCCCTTATTTGGTCTATGGACAGACTGTTTACCTGTATGCAACCAAGGCCCTGTGCTAATTTAATAGAAGACCAACAGGACTACAAATTGACTACAAACAGAAAACAAAAGCATCTGCTTCCAGATTTCAGATTCTTCTTATTCTTATGCAGACATCAGTCTGAATTCAAATCTTCAGAAATCTTTAAATCAAAGACCTGATTGTGGATTTATTTTGTAAACAGCGCCACCTTTCACTCGACCCTTGCCAACATCTTGTTTCTGAGAAGAAACGGCACCTAATGCTGACTAGCTAGCTTAATAAAACATGAAGGTGCTTTGCATCTTTAATTGTTCGTATTCAGTTTGCTTTGAGCAAATGTCTGTTATTCACTGTTAAATGTATTCAGCAAAGTAGTGTTGATACCGTAAAGAGTAATTTCTCACTGTTTTCTTTGAAAAATGTTGTTTGTGGAAACCTTCATATTCTACATGTTACGAGTTCTGAAAAACTTTGGATGAGATTTAGAATTTCACAAGAAAATGAAGCTTTTTCACTCAAAAGTCATTCGTCTAACTACAGCTTATTATAACAGCTTATATCTGACATCTGTATTTATTCAACTGTACATCACAGGCCTGTTTGTGGTGAGTTACAGCATGCCATATGGTGGGAGCCATGGCAGAAGTTGCCCACTTTCACATCCTCACATTTAGTCCTGATTTATTTTTTCCAGACGAGTCCTTTCTCGTGTCGGGCATTGACAGCGCAGCTGGGATGTAAACAGGGAGACTTTTGCTATGGCTGCTATCATAACACATATGGATGAGTGAATATATCACATGTAGATGTCAGGCCTACATTTCCATCATCGTGGTCGCATGAGATCGGAGCCAAGCGTACAAGATTACGTTTCTTTTGGGACACGACTGACGGATGGTTGTGAGGGACATGCAACCTTTTGGTGTCATAATTGGACACAAATTAGCAAATATTGTTGTGTTTTATTCTTGCTAAAAGAAATGCACGACTTTATATGCATGTGTTCTTCCATGTTACTGTGATTCTCAAAGTATGAAACATAACAAGTTCGCAATGAGTTGGTGATTGCGATGTTAAAAAAGGTCTATTTTTTGGATGCAAAGCAAGATATCTTTGTTACCAAATGTCTGACGAAGGACTGGAAAATGACTTTTTTCAATTTAAGTCCCGACTTTACAAAACCAAATCACACCGAACCAAACTGATTGCATGTCCCATGCATTTCTAGTTTCCTAAACATTCCTCGGAAAGTCTCTGTTGTCTTTCTTGGGTCAAAGGCTCAAGTTCATGCAGCCGACCGCTTCTCAATTATCTCAAACTTCACAACTTAATTTCTTGCAAATTATTTTACTTCTTGTACTGACCGTGCAGGATAAAACAAAATCTAACACACCTTGGTCCCAGGATGAGGGATATTTTCCTTCCCTCAAAACTTTTAGAAAAAAAAATTCGAAGATTATCCCAGTTCAGCATTACTCCGCTGACTTCCCATGGCTCATTCATGCTACTTACTCCCGGACTGCTTTGGTCCCAGATTGCGCTTCACATTTTACAATCAAGTTTTGACAGCCTCTCAAAGTGCTGCCCGACACACAGCATCTTCTTTTCGTGCTTCTCTTGGCGTAGATAGTCCTGGGATGAGAACTGATCTCAGGCTGAGCCTTGGTCCCAGACTGCGTTTATAAGTTTAAAAGCCACTGTTGGCTTAAACAGTTGTCTCATATTCCAATACCTCTTTGCTGCCCATCATGCTGCTCCTGTACTGTATCCGGGGGCTGATGCCTGATGTGGTCTCCAGAAGCAGAATGGTCTTGCGCAGACGTCGATCGATAAAGTGCGCATCCCATGCTGGGTATCGCTTTCTCGGGAGGTCGATCCGGATCACGGGTCCCTCATGTGCACGAGATGACGAGGAGGTCCTGTGAAGGAGTGCAGGAGAGGAGGATGGGGAGGGACGTACCTGGAAGACAGGCAGGCAACTGTCTCTGTCCCTCTCCCTGTCCCTTTCTCGCTCCCCGGGAACTGGCTCCCCTGTGTCTTTAGTCCTGGGCAGAGTCCTTGGAGGACTGGTAATGACTATATCCGTTTGGGATCCTTGTGATGGAGTAAGGCAAGCATCAATCACTCCCGCCACCCCTCCTGAACCTACCACGCCCTCGTCAACACATCCTCCCCACTGTGAGCCTAGAACAGGCCCATCTGGGTGCAGCCAGCAGTAGTACACCAACATGAAGAAGGTTCCCAGGGCAAAGCTGCAGGCCACCAGACATACAACCACCAGGGCAGAAGAATCGGCCGTTTGTGGGTCACGGTAGGTGTACCAGGCGGCAGTCAGCGCCACGTTCTCAGCCAGTGTCACAGAGTAGTAGACAGTCATACGGAAACGGCTGGGGCCCTCTTTGACATTGAACCAGCAGAAGATGTAAATGATGCCCACCACCATGTTGTAGATGATCTCCTCCCACTTGGACATGCAGAAGTCAGTCTCACCTTGGATAATCCAAAAGGTCATGACACACCTGGAAAGACAACACAACAATACAGCTAGTCTCGACAACAATGCGCATGGGCCTTATAATAAGATATGATATACAGATTCTTTTGCAAAATTTCAATCAGGTTGTAATAGTATTTTATAACTTTGCACTCTTTGAAAAGGAAAATAGATTAGCCCAGAACATGCTTCAGAACGCCAACAAAGTGGCATAAAATGTTTCTATGTCAAAAGATTATTTTAGGACCCTACAGTCAGCTGTTAGAAAGCTAATGCTAGCCTATGTGTTAATAAGCTACTGTAGATAACAGATGTACATAAGGAATCTGCAAACATAACACATTTCTTAACTTATAGACACTGACATTTGCAGTCAGTTTTGTAGGAACTGAGTTTCAGTTTATTTGTCTTTATTGCCCAAGTTTTAAAATTGAAGACAGTCATGATTCCCACTGGAAGATTGCTAAAGATGCTTGTGATCCCTCACATTTTTCCTCTAGTTCTCCCAGCAGTACCAATTATGAAATCATACAAAACATAAGAATCTAGAAGACTGGCATGAGCTTCAGTGCTCTCCAGATAATGCCCCAGTCAAACAGCCCTAGAGACCATCTGGCAACCACTGGTCACAAGAGATATATAGTGCAGCCATGAAAACTTTGTTGCAACTAGCAGGTTGCCATTGTTGTCAGTAAACACCAACTGGTCAGCAAACAATTGTGAACTACTCGCATGCAGTAGTGTCTGAAAAATGTGCCACAAACTGGAAACAGAGACTGTTCGCCTTCAAAATAATTTTGAAATCTGTTGGTTGCACAACTTTTACTTTCAAGAGGAACATTTACTGTCTCTATTTTCCATCAAACGTTTTCTAGTTTTACAACAGTTCTGAGAGTAAATGGCAAATGTTTGCAGACATGATGATGTCCTCCATGCAAACTACAGGTAAAGCACCCTATTTGAAACCATTTTCACAACTGCCAACAAACTCCAGCAACCACTCACAAACTGGTTGCCGATTAGTCTCTAGGTCTGCATAGCTGAGGGCTTAGCGACCTTTTTGGCGAGCTTCTCTGTTTTCTCTGTTTACAAGTTTACGAGTGGCAAATACTTGTAATTCTAATGACCAACTAACCTTCAATTAGCATCACTGTCAGGATATACTTTGTTTATAGAACCAGTATTGGAAAGGCTCAAAATCACCAGAGCTGTCAAAATACTAATGAGATATTTTTGGACTGTTTTTTACTGTAAACTTTGTTTGTGAGGCCAATAGAAGTGAAATTAACTCAGCTGTTGACATAATTTAACAGAAATCCACAGAATTTTGTCTTTGCCTTAGAATTGCAAATTACTGTATCCAAGTGATGCGAGCGAACAACATGCCAGATTTATTTAAGCCTGCAACAGCTGATTTTCTGGACAAGCTTGCAGCTGTTACCGAGCACTATTTTGTTTCATTTGAGCGATTTCTCCATTGTCCACAAACCAGTGTCTGACATCACAGAGGCTGTGTTCATCTATTAAATAAAATCTGCGCACTTCACAAACATCTGAGGGAAATTAAAGGTCTCTTCAAAAGCTGACTGCTTCTCAGTGTACACCAGCTAATTGCAAACTCCGACTGCATGCTGTTTGGTGCTGAGCAGGATGTGAAGAGAGGATATTTAAAGCTTTGTTACTGAGAAAAGCTGTGAGAACAATCACAGTATGAGAGCAGTAAAAATGAACCAGTAAAGTCGTGAGCTGAACAGCCAAACAATGCGATGCAGCTCGCAACAACGCCCCGAAAACCGAGGGAGTTGCACATTCAGGTGATAGTGCTCTGTAGGGTCTTCACCACAAGTAGCACCTTTCACATTGTGCCATTGTTTTCACATTTGATTTATATCAGTAATATAAAAATATTGATTATAGCTGCCTTGAGTACAGGAAGTCACAAATGAACACTAAGACAAAGGGGCAATACAAGACAGATAACATAAATCTCTCAGTTGTGCCTCAAAGTACATCCCTAAACACAAAGCGATGATATCAGGCAATCCATTTCTAGAGAATTTAATGAATGCTCCTGGCACAGAATATCACATCTAAGCCATTTAAAGTAGAGCGAACACATACAGGAATGCCCGAATGCAAATCATCGCTGGGCATGAGATAAAACGTTAAGACTGACCTTCTCCCTATAGAAGGCTACATTCTTTCAGCACCAATTTGCTAAACCTGCTGTATGAATAATTACAATTAACACTGAAAGTATTTTATAAATTAGGCCCTGCTAAATGTCCCCGCTTGGGGGAAGAACCTGTAAAGTGTGTAGGAAGCTGTTTTCTGCGATTTAACAAGCAAGAACGAGCAGATTAAAAAGGTTTATGTATAAAGGGAATATATTTACCAAACTTGCTCTTTATATATTGTATTACTTGACTTTCTTTAGTTTGATTTTTGTCTACCTGCTGTTGGAATGCAAGTTGACTAATATTACTGGAACAGAGTATAGATTTCTCTCTATAACAAAAAAAATGCAGCAGGTGTCTAATTCTTCCCATTTGGGGTCCAGATTCTTAACATCAGGTCACATATGGCGCACCAGTGGCTGACGATGAATATGCCGAAGTAGAGCTGGAAGACGGAGGCGAAGAGAGCAAAGGCCACGGTCCTCGCCCCAATCGTGAAGAAGTGCCACAGCATCTGGGCGATCACGGCCTTGTAGGACATGGGCAGCTTGTCGTCACGGGAGTCACGGAGGACCTTCTGGTAGGAGGCGATCATCCAGGCCAGTGAGACCAAGGAGGCCGAGGCAGATAGACCTGGACAGAGGGGGGGAAACATAAGAGGACTATAGTTATTAACTTGACTGAATAGCTCATAATAAACAACACCAGTGATATTGTTAAATAGAATTATAAAGCTACCCGAGCAGGGAGATTACATGCTGCAGAGTGGTAGAAAAGAGAAAAAAACCCTAAAAGTGGCATTTTAATTTTGACCTTGGAAAGAGAAACTTTAAACTGCATCTTAAATTTGGATGTCGCAGTGTGTAGATTGTGGGGTGTGCGGATGCAGAAAAGAGTTTGAGATGTCAAATAAAAGGTGAGCCGTTTATCAGGCTGATTTCAGAATCCAAACAAAATCAAAAACGCAAGCAAATTGAAATCCAATAGTCACAGGAGCATCCCGGGACTAACACGAGGAGCCTCAGACAGCCAAAGTACGCTGACTAAACAGATGACGCAACAAAGGGAAGCCCGAGGCTGCACGCAGAAGGCTGATGGGGGTCTGAACACAGGAGGGTAACGAGACAGCTGAACATAATCAAGAGGCATGATGTACAACTCACATCGAGATGCAGCTAACTAGCAAAGGAGAGTAACACTAACCAGAATATCAACAACTGACGAGAAATTAACAGATTGAAGCATGAACACCAAACAAGGCAAAGAAAGGACAACAACAAACACAAACAACTAAACGGCGAGAGGAGGCTAGAATCACACAACTAAAAGGCTTCACTACACTGGACTAAGAAACACAGACAGCACAAGATCAACTTACAACAAAGGATCAAAATCACTATCAGGGATTCTTCAATGTTAACTAACAGAGGTAGTTTAAATTGCCCCGTGTGGCTCAGTAATGTGGTCAGGTAATTGTAAGCTGATTTATTGCTTGTATTATGAAATGTCTGAGATGTGGTCCGTGAGTTCTGTAACTAAGAAAAAATGTACTTGATAAAAATGTGCCTTCTTTTCTTATCAAGGTCTTCTTTTAGTAATGCTGCTGTATTAGGCGTCTGCTTGGGAGTCCAATTTTGAAAGCACACTGAATCTCTCCCGGTGGGTCAAGAGTCAGATCAAATAACTTCCAGCTTTTAACTTGAATTTAAGTTTAGGGGAGAAAAACAAAGTCCCAGCGATCCAAATTGTCAAACGTGGAGACCCAAGACTGCGGCTACAAGCACTCAGCTTTGGTGTGAGTTCGTGGTGCGCACTCTTGTGAATGTAAATGTAATGATGCTCGTCAGTGACCTGCTAAGCAGTGAGGAAAAATGCAGTTTAGTCTATGTGGAGCAGCCAACTTCTCATCACCAGTACTGATCCTTGAGATCTTTGGTGAAATCAGAGATAATCACATAGATGTGCTGAAAACAATGAGCCGTCTACAGACAGCTGCACTGTTTAAACTGATCCGGAGGAGCACAACCAGAAGACCTCACAGGGGAGGTTGCCCTTTTTAAATCAGGTATGGTTTTGCCTTTTTTTAGTTGGAGTCACAAAGCTTTAGTCCCAGCTTTAATCCTTCAGGTGGGAATACATGTGAAGTACTAAGAACCATCTCACCCTACAGTAGTATGGCTTTCGTTTTTTGAACATGCTCCTACAGTTTTCTCTTTTTTCCACGCTTGTTCCCCGAGCTTAAAATGTGTTTATTTATTTCCCGCCGTGCTGAGTGGAGGCCTGCTGGAGCATTTCCAGTTGTTTCTTTTTATTTTAATAACTCTGTCATCTTCTAAAGTCAGTTCTTTTTTCTCATTTTGATTTAGGCAAAGGTAAAATGTGTTTTATAACTACTAAGTCTACTAGTGATCTCAATCCATTCCCACAGTGAGTACTATAATCCTGAGGATCGACAAAGGAAGTCCTGACGTCTGGGATCTCTTCATGAGTCTACTGTATGAGGAAAGGGACACTCCCAGGTTGCTAACAGAAACAGGAAGATTAGAAAGTCTGGGATTACTCCAGGATTCAGAGCTGGAGTTGTTCAAGTGATCAGCATAGGGAATGTGAGAGGTTTGGACAATAATAAGGATGAGATTAGTGAACTTACTGGGAATATGGCTGAAACCTTTCTCTGACATCTGGTTTAACTTCACTGACATAAGGACAAACACAAAAAAAGGGTTAGGGTTGCTGGCTGTCAAATTTATCTGGACTTGAACCAGTTTCTACTGAAGTCAAATAATCATTAGCCCGCACATGTAACTTTCAGGCCTGCTGCGAACCGCCCAGAGCACAGTTTAGCATATTAAATATTCATGCGTGTTAATCATGCAGCCTTGTCTCAAATTAGCCGTGAATCACACTGAGAAGGCATTAAAATGTGAGCAGAGAAAGAGCGGCACCGACTTTGCATTTGATTAATCTGAAGATTTTTCTAAAATATTTCTCTTAAAAACTGAGATCAACCTTAAAAAGAAAGTTTAAAGTCGACTCAGAGGTGCAGAGTTTGAACTGGTCCTCAGCTGGAGAGCGCCATTTTTTCACAAGTCAGAAAACTTATTGTGTTTAAAATCTCTTTTTACTTTTTCACTTTTATTAAATTTAAATGCTGTTGCACATGTAAGATTTTCCTAGCACAGCAGGGACACAGCGCTAGGCACATATTTTTGTTTACATGTGACATGTTTCTTTGGTTTTTAATATACTTTTTGTCTTCAGTTTTGCAGTGTTTGTAGTTTGTCTCCTTATTTCTAAACTTGGCTCTCTTTATGCATCAGCTTGTTTCGTCTAACACGAATGGAAATGGGGGGAAATGGCTGAAACTATTAAAACACCATCAAGCGTTGCGAACAGAAGCATTCTCGGCGTCTGTGCGGCTTGGTTGGAAAATGGAAAATATCGTGACAAAACAGCAACGGTTTTGTTCCATCTTTGAACAAAAACAATTTAACACAGACCAGTGGCAGGCCAGAGAAACCACAGAGTGTTTCCTTAATGAGGTCTGATTAAAGGAGAGAGCTGTCACTCCTTTACTGTACAGCCTGCTTGAAACAATATGTCTCAAGAGGATTCAGCAGCATTAAGAACAGAGAAAATTATGGGCTACCTTCACCAGACAAATGCTATATATGTATTAATAAAGGAAAGGGAGTTCTTTAAACTTCAAACCTCTGTCTACTTTGATTTGATATATGAGTCATTCCCCTTAAGCTGCTTTAATTTTGGAAAGGAAATGATCTCCAATGAATTTCACAGAAACTGAAACATCTGGTATTGCATGAACTGAACTCTTTGGGTTTTTACATCTGTGCTATTTAACATAATTAACATTATTGGAAACCAATGTTTCCAAGAGTCCTGCTTGCTGTCTTTGATATCATTCAGCTGCTTCAGCTGAGAGGATCTCGTCCCAAGTTTATTCGCACTTCCAGTCGACCATCTTGGACCACAGCTGGCAACGGTAGTCTTTGTTCTGCGGTGGAGATCCACTCTAACATGGGCTCATTTAGAACTGCTTTATATGTTTCAACCTCTCAAGATTACTCAAGATAACTTGAGTCCAAGGCTGTGGAATCCAGCTGTAGGATGAGAGACTCGCTGGAGAGGCAGCAGATCATATCGTTCAGTTATTTTACTTTACTGCACTTTTCCTGATGGGAGGAAACTACTTTTCTCAGCTGGCTGGGTAACATTTCAATAACGCCCTGAAAAAGTTGGATGTTTTGGTGTATTCACTTAGGTTGCAGCCACCATGACCGTGACCTGGAAGAAAACCAATGACATGATTCGTTTTTTCAAATTCTAAGATGTTGGAGAAATGTTTAAGCGTTCTTTATTCTATGTAGTTTTTGTTGGTTTTAAAGTGTCATCAATGTGATGGAACATTTTATGATTGTGCCCTTCTCTGTGTGAAGCTGGCCTTACTGATGTGTCCGTGGCATCATGTTTCGTCTTTATACAGTCTTTATAAGATCGTAATAAGTCAACTGTACAAGCCGTCTTTGAATGGAAGGCTCTGACTCAATTCTTTGACCATGGCGAGTTTCTATAAATGGTTCTATTATTTGTTGTCAAAAGCCATGCTGCCATGTTCCTTATTTGTTCTTTTACCCCTTTGCAAATTAAAATTGCAAAAAACAACAACAACCTGTTTGTGTGTAAATCGATTTGTTTCAGATTTTAGTAACAATGTCAGTGATCAGTGGGTTCATTTAGCTAATGTGGATTCTGGGATCCAAACAGTGTCTCTAATCTCTAAAAGTTGAGAGAGCCAAACGTTTGACCCCAGACCATCTCCCCCGGGATTTCAAGAAACGGATGATGTTGTCTATAAACAATGAGAGATCTGCAATGAATCGCCTAGTGGATGGGGATGCAAAAAAAAGAAGAAAAAAAAAAACAGGAAAATGATTGTTTCCTGGGATAAAATCACAGGGAATTGCTTTCAAAGGGTGAAAGCACTTCAGGATCGAGTCTTCTTCGCTCTCCGGACTGCCCAGGTAATTGTGGCCAAAAAAATGGTTTGGAGTAGAGATTAAACACAGCAGATAGAAACAAAATTGGAAATTTGCGAGCATGAAAAACAAGTCTGATAAAGAAAACCCCCAATCGGAGTGGAGTGGTACATTTCATATTAAGGGAAAATATGGAGATGGAGCTATCAGTGTTCTGGAGGAGGAACATTGATCATGTTAAAGTTACTGTAGCTGGAAGAGAAATAGATTAGAAAATAAAAGCAAAAATAAATAAGTAATCGGAAAATCACCTTTTCAAGATCACCTGTCTACAAACTGAGATGAACTTAATCCAACCGCAGCCTGTTCTCTCAATCAACAATTGCCTCCATTACTGTAGCTGATAAATCACAACCAAATTTATAAATCAGGTTAGCAACGCAGCAACTATCCTGAAGCATAGCTTGAGAAAATACACTAAAACATCCATGCAATAAATGAACCCAAACCAAAGGGAATTATGACTAAACAGTGGCAGATGCAGTTTGTTACGCTTGGAAAGCTCAGCATTTGGAGGAACTGGGACCAGCCAATGTTTGGGATTTGTCCTTAACAGATGACTTGAATGATTAATTGGCTACACCGACACTCGATTCGTGTGACAGATAAAATGATAATGGATAATGATAGTGCAATGATGGTGAATCTTCTCAGCTCTTCAGTACTGCCGGCACTGCAGGAGCGTATGTATGAGTGCCCACATTAAAAAACATGAATGCTTTTTAACAGATGGTAGGTCAAAGTAGACAGGGATATTTGTGTGTGAGAGCTCGGACACGTTTATCTCTGAGAGGAGTTTCGCTTTTAGACTATGAGATAAAGGATGTTTGGTAAGGAGGGACACAAAGGACGGTTCGAGGTTAAAAAGCATCTATTATACATTTCCCAGTTTTTTCACACATACTGCTCAAAATGTTAAAGCTCTCATAATAAACCTAAATAAACCCACAAATAACGCAGGTGTGTGTATGAATAATGCTTGAGAGTCACAGTTCTTCCTCATCCTTAATATGAATGATGTCGTAAAGAGTGGTTAAACCTAATACGGTCATCTCAGTGAGCACAGCTCTGGCTGTGAGCACAGAAGCCACGCCCACTCACCTCTTTTTTTAGGGGGCAGCCAATCAGAAGAAAGTTGTCTTAAAGAGAGGAAGATGGGAGCTACCACAGCTCGTTTAATGAGAGCCCCTCAGCTTCCTAGGTCACACACCTATGGCATAAATTTCAGAATGCTGGGTGATTTGCAGGAAAGGTGACGTCTTACATGGTCAAGGTCACCGGGATTAAAACTTGTGAGACTTTTATTAGATGCTCCTATTTTAAGAATTTGAAAATCCTACATCGCCTGATTCTCGAGTAACTGCATTCACACACTTCAGAGTCCATGTTTATGACTGATTATGATGTAGCAACTTATGCAAAGCTACTGTAGCTACTGCACACAATAGGTTCCCTATAAAAACATGCTTTCAAAGGCTAAATTGTACTGTAATCAGGTATATTTACTCAGGAAGAGTACTTAAGTAGTAAATTTAGGTACTTGTTAATCACTTGAATATTTTATTGTGATGAGGCTTTATCTTCTGGTGCACATCGTGTCTTTGTGTCTCTAGTCTGATCAGCTCCGGTGCTTATTATTATTTTGATGTAGTTTCATGTTTTTATGCCATCACTGTTCAGCAGTTTTTATTATTTTTAGCTGTTATTAACATACAGTTTTTTTCCTAATAACTACTTTCTGCACTCGATCCACTTTTTTAAACTTTACAGAACAAATCACGGGATTTTATTTTGTTAAATATGCCATTTCTTATTAACTGATGACTTCATTGTGATTTTCTGAACGAGTGTAATCTGTGAGCTCACCAGTTAAGCATAACAATCTAAACTGTGATATTCACACAACGTGCATTAGAAGACTGGATTATATTACTGATCTTTGACTGTACGGGGATTTGGATTTAAACATTTTTGTTTTTTTAACATGAAATATTAAAATAACACAGTGTTACACTCTCAAAGGGCCGTAAGTCGTCTTCTAATGAATGTCAAAGCAGATGTGCTATGTTTCCTGCAGAGACGCAGACTCTGTGTTGTCACTGCAGCCATGCACGTCGATATCGCTGCTACGCTGAGCACAGTCGGTGCGCCCTGCGTCCACTGCAGCCATGGCTGCGCCTCGCACAGATGTTTGCCCTCCACTCGTCTGTAACTGAACACAGAGTCGTAGGAGGAGAGCAAAGGTGAACTTTAAAGATATTCAAATGCAGGAAGTTAGTTTTTTGGATTCTGCAGACTACATGTGTGCGTTGTGGGTTTTATGAGTCAGCTGTGTGTTTTGTGCTATTTAAATATGTTTCTGACACTTGTCTTCTGCTGCTGCTGGTGCCCGCCAGGTGTGTGTGAATACGGAGTGTGAAAAGTACTGAAGTGAACACACACACACACACAGAGAGAGAGAGAGAGAGCGGGGGAGAGAGACTGTTTTGTTTTATTCATCAAAGGCCAATCTGCTTCTTGTAAGAGGTGCATGAATAAAGCATAGATTCTCCTAGTGATATCACACACTCACACATTCACACACACAGAATAAGTTTGCTTTATTACTGTTTGGTTCTTATTTCTTAGCTCAAATCAAGTAAGTTTATAGACTGATTTCCTGCTTTAACTTTGACCCTCTGCTTCTTCGTCTATTACACGTCTTGGTCTTTGCAGCAATAGTGCTGTTTGCCCAATCTCAGCAGAAAACTTTGCCTTGTCTTATGATAGCCACTGGTAATGATGGCTAAAAAAAGCACAATAAAGCTGTATATCATTCACTCTAAGAACAAGAATTTTAAAAATCTTTGAAAAAGGAGAAGACAGCTGAATGCGTCACCTTGCAGAGGCAGAACACCGCTTTCATGGACCATGATGCTCAGCTGCAGAACGAGCTGTGGAGCCGACTTCAGGAAGGCCTCCAGGAGGCGGAGCATGGTGATGTCAGCGCTCTCAAACATCAGCCTCCAGTGGAACTGGCGGCGGGGCCCGTTGCTGTTCCAGCGGCTCTTGGCACCCAGGTAGAGGGCGTGGATGTATCTGAGGGTGAGAGAAAGAGGTTTAAGGGCGGTGATTTATCCCATTAAACATCAGCCTTTGTTTTTAGTTACAACGTGAAAGTCAACCCAAAAATAAACCAATAATAACTTTAAAAACTGTAGTGGCAAAGTAAAAGTTTGGGCTTTATGGATGAACATACATGACATTTTCACCAAGCAAGACTGGAAAATGTTTGGGAAAAACTGGGAAAAAATGACTGATGAAAACTGGATAAACTGATGAAAGTGAAACTATTCTTAAGCTTCGAAAAAAGTGGCCTCTTTACTGAAAAGGGCCGTGCTTGGCATCCTTTCTAAAATCACACGAGGGGTTTTCTAGCACCAGATACAGACTGGGATCTCCATGTATGATCTTTCCTTATTATTCCTGCGTCTCTGAGATATGTTATCAGAGCAAGTCAGATTTCTACTGACTAGAATTAGAAGTCACACACTGTTCTTCTGCTCTGCTGTGCACTGGCTTCATCCAGCAGTGACCTCGAGCTTGAACTGGGGCATTTGCAGCTGACTGAAAAGTCATCGGGGATGAGAGTGTAAGCTTCCTAGTCTGGGTTTGTGGCTCTCAGCCAGAAAAAGGTGGACTGCTTGTTCGCAGCTGGGGATGAGCTGGCGCCTCAGCTGAAGGCGTTCAAAAATCTGGTAGTCTTGTTCACAAGTGTGGAGCAAGAGATTGAGAGACGGTTTGGGGAATTTGTCTGCAGTGAATCTAAAGCATCCTTCTGACCCCCACCGACAGCCATGGGTGGTGACCGAAAAGAAAATGAGTGTAGATACAAACAGCGGCTATAAAATTGTCTGAGCTCACTCTCAGAGACAGAGTCAGCAGGTCTGGCCTGCAGGAGGAGCTCAAAGTAGAGCCATTGCTCCTCTGCTCTCAAAAGGAACTGAGCTGGTTCCAGCATATGATCAGGATGGACTGGACAGGCGTTATCAAGGAAATTTACACAATGGAGGGACTGACTTTTTCATTAAGACTTGCTGCTGATAAATTTGAGAAGTACTGGAAAAAATGGGACCTTTACCTGAATGGAAAACTATTATAAATTCTGGTACCAAATTTATCATTGCTCTAATTCACCTATTTGATTTGATTGTACCTTAAATGGATGTATCTTTTTTTTAATGCGTCTCTGCTAGCCTAGATACTCTGTACGTATTAAGGGTCTGAGTGTTTTGTGAAAAAAACAAAAAACAAAACCAAACTACCAATAAAAATAAAGCGTTAAAAAGAAAAGTTCCAGTAAATACACCCTGCATGGATCTCTAATCAACAGAAAAACGCCACTAAAACCGATCTGTAATTTGAGTGAATGGTTCCCTTTTCATTTGTATTCTAAAATAAAGACTTTCTCCTGTTGAGAATAAGAAATAAAAAGATTTCACAATAGATTTTATCACTTGATGTAAACATTTTATTTCCCACTTATTTTGGCGTCTCTAGCAAATGTGAATAATCTGATTTCCAGCTCTGTGCATGAACATAGTGAGAAGCAGACTGTAGCGTACAGCAGGGATAAGGGCTGAATTACATTAAACCTCAACATGCCGCTCTCCCGAGAGGACAAAAACACCTCAGAGGAAAACATCTTCATCCTCAGCTGTCACCGCTCTGCTCTGACGTCCTGCTGTTGTTTGTTTGTCATCAGTGACAGTTTTGGTTACTATGGTTCAAATGGTCTATACAGGTGAGCAGTATTATTTTTATTTAGTGACAAGTGACGATATGAAATCTGATATTTTTTTTACCCGTGGTGCAAAATAACGTCTGTGTTAAAGTGATGATGTATTAGCAAAGAAAAAAACAGTCTAACTTTATGGAAAACAGACAGGAGGCACTACAATGATTTTAAACTGTAGTTTCAGTATTGTTATACCACCTGTAGTCATTTATATCCAGGTGTACAGCTCTGTGGTGTGGCAACTGCAAGATCTCCTCATTAAAACAGGAGAGAAACATGACTGACGGTGGACACAACACTAGTTAAATCACACACATACCATGAGCTGGTAGGTGGGTTGCAAAGTGGTTTGCAGGCGTACAGCAACTGTGGCCTGTTAAAGTAGCTGAAATAGCACAATCAAAGGCCTGATTTAGACTTCTGCAGTGAATGTTTGTAGAGTCTACAATGACCCCTTCGTAAAAGGCTGATGTCATTATTTAAATAAATAAGGCAAAAAGCAAAAATGACTTTCGCAAGAATCGCTTTAAACATCTGTTTTCACCTAAACACAAAAATGTGACATCTGAAACATTCATGTTGCTCACTGTGTTAGAAATCTGCACTCAGAGGAAACTTGGCCGCTGTCCTAATCATCCAACATATTCATAATCATCAGAGCTGAAAACAAAATAATCTGTATATTTGTATGAAATATATTTTCCTTAAGCTACAGTTTGTGGTTTTCACCTAATTTTTCTGGTGTGAGATGAGTCATCATCGGCTACAGATACAAGTGAATTTTCTTTAAATGGTTTTTGGGTGTACATACATTTCATCTCTGTCTCTGTATATAGGAGGCAGGCCTGATGCATCATGGGAGAAGAGGATGGCAGACAGTGGTAGTAGTACAACAAGCAGACGGGATGTGGAGGAGAACCGAAGCTCGCTTGGAGGAAAAGTGAGACGACACTCACTTCCTGTGCTTCTGCATCCCCAAGCAGATTTTAAATGGAAGGGTAAAAATAACCTGGGAGTGTATGCACATGCAAACACACGCACACGCACACGTCAGCATATGTGGTGATGTTCAAGCCTGCCTAGCACAGACAAGCACAGATGCACATGTGTACGTGGTCGACACACCTCAACACACAAGCCCCCTTAGAAACACACACACACACGCACACACACACACAGGGTGACAGACATGCAGGAAGGCCAACAAGGCAGCCTGGAAATCTGTAGCTCTGCAAATAATTTGCTGGCCAAGCACTGCCGGCATTTCTTTATTCACTCTCTATGTCTCTCTGTCTCTCCCTCTCGCTCTCCTTCACCTCTAAATCTCTGTTTGTCTTTCACACCTTTTTTTCTTTTAGATTTAATTCTTAAATTTATTCAGTTTCTTGCTTTTCTTAAAGTCACACTTGGTGGAACAGTCAGTTCATAATGCTTTATTAATTCACATATATATTTTTTTATTTACGTCTCTATTCATGTCTATATGACAGAAACCATGCAAATGTCATCATACCTGTGAAGTGACAATAAATAATATTCTATTTTCTGTCGTGTTTTCTTTCTTTCCTTTAAAAACTGTTTTTCCACGTTCCCTCTTTCCTGCTTCGTCCTCGTCTCTTTCATCCTCTACCCTTTTCCAGATTTTCTTTCCTGTCTCTCTTTCTGCCTTCTGTCCTCTGCTTGTTATCTCTCATTTTGTTTCTCTCTCAATCCAATTTCATGCAGCTATTGTCTTTCTCTCCCATTTCTTTCCCTACCTCTCTTGCTCACTCTCGCTCTCTCTCTCCATCCAATTTATTTTTCTCTTCCCTCAGGTGTTCTCTCGGCCTCAAGCTTCCAATCTATCAAATCTATATGAATCCTCTCCTCCTCCTCCCCTTCATCTCTGTTACTGCTCTCCTCTCCTCCCTAGTAGCCTCTCCTCTTCCTCAGTTGGAGACCCTGAGCTTGTGTGTGTGTGTGTGTGGTGTAAGAGAAATGCTGCTAAGTGTAATGCTGAACCAAGAATGAACCCTTAGAGGGAAGCTTACACACAGAGAAATTAAACTGTTATACTCACTTCATTTAAATCATTTTTAAATTAATATTACAGGTCAAGGAGTGAAGCGCAGAGATCAGCAGCCCACAAGGAGACAGAGGATAAGATTTGCAATTTAACGGTGCACTTTTAACATTAGTTCAGCCCCGTCTGGGTGTGGTGGAAATTACTGAGATTATGATGTAGTATTTGGAAAAGTAGGGATTCAAAGTTTGTCCTCCTGGAGTCTTTTTTTTAAGCGGTAAAAACAATAAAAAGATAAAAAAATAAACAGAATTTTAAAAGTGAATTGATTATTTGGTGAACTAGCTGTGTACGAACCACACACCGCTGAAGACTTTTTCTGAATTTCGGTTTTAAGAGAGCGCTTGAGGGGTAGAGAGAGTTTGTTGAGGTTTGTATGAGTGGAGCTGGTTGATAACGTTATAAAACCTTGAACTAATGCCGAGAAGTTGACGGGTGAAACTGCGAGAACCACAAGAAAATGGGCTTCTTGAAGTGTATGCTTGTGGCAAACAATCCAGGATTGGGTTATGTTTTCACTCTTCATTCTTTTTTATATTACACTACAAACTCCTCACAGCTGCCAGCAGTGACACAAGAGGCAGTAATGCAGTATCAGATTTAGCAGTGGAAGCAGAGTAGAAGCATAGACTGTAAAAGATGGATTCGGCTGCTGAGCATGTCCTCCTTCGTGCCTTTAATTGGGAGCACTGTTTACAAAATGAACCTTGTGTTGTCTTTAATATAACCCCAAACAGATACCGAGACCAAGAAAGTGTCCACTGAGGTCACAGAGCAAGTTTCTCATTGGTTGTTTGGCTGTTACAGTAGCCAGTGCCTGCTGGCCATTACAAGGAATGCAGGTGTAAGGCATTTCAACACCAGCTTCACTTTTTGGACCGGGAAGATGCATCCATCTTTTATGTACAGTCTACCACCACAAGTTCCTGTGCTGCTAATACGGTGAGAGCTGCACATTTCAGAAATGTAATGTTTTCGTGTTACATAAGTTCTTCAATAGCTGCATGATGTGCAGATAGGTGCTTTTTCATGAGCACCTGCACAACAAATGCTTGACTTCAGTTCACACAGAGCAGTCTGTAACTTTTAACAGGTCACTTTTAGTTTGTTACACAAAAGAAGAGGAGAGTCATCATAAAATGCAAATATGGAGACGTGTAAATGCAACTTTTAATCTTATATAGGTAACTGGCAAGTTCAGTACTGTGATCTCAGGGGATGTTGAGCAGTAATATAAAG